GAGGGGAAAGAGCCATTCCTGAAAAGTGGATTTGCAGCCCAAGTCTACATCAGCTGCACGGTCAGAACAACTGTAGCCATGAACTTAATTCAAAGGGTCTTGGACTGATAATGCCTTAATGGCACCTGGCAGAAGCAAACACAGATCTTTTCATCCCATACCTGAAAAAATTAGCAAAAGCAATTTCCCAAGAAAAATGAACAACTCAGACAAAAATATAACCAAGCACGCAAGGAAGCAAAGCTCTGGGAGTGAGAACCCGAGGAAACGGTAAGCAGAAACAGATCTACATGATTTCAGATATTGGAATTACCACGTACAAAATATAAAACAATGATGCTTGCTATTGGAAAGGAGTAAAAAGACAAAGATGATAATATCTGCAGAGAACAGGAAAATGTCAGGAGAAACAATAGATTCTAAAAAGAGGGAAATGTTGCATTTAGAAATAAAAAACATAATTGACATAAATACTCAGTGGATGGGTATAATAGCAGATTAAATGCAGCTGAAGAGAGAATCAGTGAACTAGATGAATGCAGCAAAGAGAGAAAAGGAGATGGGGAATAGGAAAGAGGAATTGAGAGATAAGGGAGTTAAAATGAAAGATCTAATATTGTAGGAAATGAGTTCCAGATGGAGAAGAGTAAGAGAATGGGGCATAGGCAATAATTCAGGAAATAATGGCTGAGAATTTCCAGACCTGAAGAAAGATACTGATCCATAGGTTTTTAAACATTAATTAATTAATTTTATTTTTGTTTAAATTTTGTTGGGAGGGAGGTAATTATGTTTGTTTATTTATTCATTTATTTATTTAATTAATTTTATTTTGTGGGGTGGGGAGGTAATTTGGTTTATTATTTACTTATTTATTTTTAACAGAGGTACTGGGAATTGGACCCAGGACCTCATCACGCTACGCATGCCCTCTATCACTAAGCTGCACCTTCCCCTGCTCCATAGTTTTAATGAATGAAATGAATGAATGAATGAATGAATCCCATGAAAGTTAAGTAAGTGAAATTCACATGTAGACTCATTAGAGTGAAACTGAAGCACACCAAGATCCAAGACTTTGAAAGCTGCCAGAGAAGGGAACACACAGGTTGCAATCTATTCAAAAGAAGTATCTCGACTAGCAGCAGACTTTCAATAGCAACTGTGGGAGCCAGTGAGAACAGACTAGTCTGTTGCATGTTGATTAAAAATAACCACTAACCTAGAATTCTGCAGTCAGTGGACGTTTCTTTATAAATAAAGTAACAGTGGGGCTTTTCAGATAATAAAGAAGAAAAAAACTTGCCATTAGCAGTGCCTCCCTGAAGACAAGCCCAAAGATTGCACTGAAGGGAGAAAGACTTAAAATATGAGAACAGAAACACAGATATCAGGGGTTAAATGGATTGAAAGTGTTCTAAGACCCTTGAATACACCAGGAGGAGGGTAAAGGTATTATTAACTAATGGCAGCTACTGATAAATTTTAAATACATGTTGTTATAATTTCCAGGCTAACTATTGAAAGAACAGAAATATATCTCTCAAACTAATTAATGGAGCAATTCTGAATGGTCAAAAATATTCCATTAATCCAGAAAAAGGCAAGAAAGGAAAGTAAAACAAACATAGAAAAAGTGGAGAAAATAGCACAAAATAATGTGGTGGAAATAGATCTAAATATATCAGGAGTTATATTAAATATAGGTGGAGTAAATGTTCCAATTAAAAAACTGAAGACTATCAGACTACACTTAAAAATACTTTAAAAACCCCAAAAAACAAAAAGTGCAAGGATACATCCAAATGGATGAAAAAAAAATCATATCATGCAAATATTTACTGAAAGAAAGATGGTATAGCTATATTTATATCAAACAGCATAGTCTTAAAGGCAAAAAGAATTATTAAAGATACAGAGGGCCTTTGTACAACCAAACAAATGAATAAAATACAGCTACATGCACAAGCATGGAGGAAACTCACGTGTAATGATGGGTGAAAGACGCCAGACACCAATCATTAGAGTACAATCCCATTTACATGAAGCTCAGAAAACAGGAAAAACTGAACTATAGTGTTTAGTAGCTCACAATTGGTGGTAAAATGATAAAGGCAATACAATTAAAACATAGAAGTCAAAGTAGTGGTTCCATCTTGGGGGGAAAGCAGTTGCAATCAAAAAGGGGTACACAGGAGATCAGGGTGCTGATGAAGAGCTAGGTCTAGTAATCTGGGTGGTGTTTGCTCAGGTGTTCATATGATAGTTATGCTTTACACTGTATATGTGTATTTAATATATGTTTGCATGATTTATTTCACAATTGAAAAAAATACTCTGAGTTCTAGACCATGATCCATCACGGTGTCTATAAATTCTTTAATATTCCTCCCTTCAAGAGATGAAAACAAATTCTCCTCCCTTTGAATGTGAACTGGACTTACTGACTGGTTTCTTACAAATAGAATAAAGTGGAAGTGAAGATGTGTGACTTCAGAGACCAGGCTGTTAAAGACATTGTAAAATCCTCATTATTTTCTCTTGGATCCCTTGTTCTGGGGAAGCCATATTGTGAGGACACTCAGTCAGCCTATAGAAAGGCTCCTGTGACGAGAAACTTGGGCCTTCAGCCAACAGCTAAGTCAGTGAGCTTGTTTAGAAGCAGATCCTCCAGCCCTAGTCAAGAAGTTAGATACTACATCTCTGGCCAACGTCTCGATTGCAGCCACACTGGGGACCCTGAGCCAGAACCAACCAGCTGAGCTGTTGCCAAATTCATGTCATGCAGAAACTGTGAGTCAATAAATGTTGTTTTAAGCTGTTGAGTTTGGGGATAATTTGTTACACAGCAAGAGATAACTAATATATATCACTAATCTACCGTGTAGCCAAGTTGCATTTCCTCTCTGAGCTTCCATTTTCTCACCAGCGTGGTGGAGAAATTGGACTAGATTATGAATGGCAAATATATTTCATCCTGCCATAGAAATGCCAAACAGTTGCTGCACCATGAGAGGACTCTGAGACTGCACCTACATCAGGGTGACAAAGTGCATCAATTGACAGGAGGGGAGCAGGAGAGTAGCAGCTTATTTATGATGTGTGGTCTGCCCCAAACTGAGATGATCACAGAGGGGAAGTCCTCTGAGCTGTTCTTCTCTACTAGATATAACTCTGTTGGAAGTCCCAAATCCTTAACACAAAATGACAAAAGCAGTCGATTTCCCTCTAACACAGGGGCCGTGTCCTCCCAAGTCCCCATGTCTGAAATCACTTGACTCAGAAACATTGGCCAGGGCTCTGGAAATGAACCTGGGTTCAAGTCTTGTCTGTCTCTTAACAGCTATGTGACCCTCAGCAACTTGCTGCATCTCTCTAAGCCTCAGCGTCCTCACCTATAAGATGTAGATTTCTCTAAGGATTAAATGAAACTCATGGCCACGAGTCAATCTGTTCATCAGGAGTCACTGGCCCAAACACCATGAGCCCATCCTTGAGCTAGTGGTGTTCTGAGGGATATAGAGACGTAGCCCAGAGTCCCTGCTTTCAAAGAACCTGCTGTCTATTTGAGGAGGCACGTCTTGGCCACAGTACCTTTCAAGCCAGTACAAGCACAGAGCCTAACGGTCTGGAATGACCGCGTGTGCTCGAGTAGTTCTCAAAGTGTGGTCCCCCAGACCATCCGCACCAGTATCACCTGGGAACTTGTTCGAAATGCATATTCTCAGACCCCACTCAGACCTTTGGAATCAAACACTCCCTAGGGGTGGGGCCCAGCGGTCTGTGCTGTAATAAGCCCCCTCTGTGATTCTGATGCACGCTTTTTAAGAGTTTGAGAACCACTGCTCCAGGCGTTCAGGAAACAGAGGGACCAGGAGAGGACTAATGGAGGATGTGGAATTTGAATCTTTAAGAATGACTAGAAATGGATAGAAGAAAAGGTGACAGTGGTTGCAGTGGACCCACTGGCCACAGTCCTTCCCTGGGTCTCCCTGGGCTCCTGACTCAGAGCGATGCCTCCATCCATCAGCATCCCCTAAAGCAGAGGAGACCCTGCTACCAGGAGGCAGTGAGGAGGCTGTAAGGGAGGAGGGGGGCCGGTGGCAGCAGCTACATGGCTCCCTCCTGCAGAGGACCTCCCGAGCCCCAGCCTCACGTGGGCCTTCGCAGGTACTGAATTATGAATGGAAGTTGCCCAGAAATAATCACCAACATTATTGCCGCCCCCCCCGCCCCGCCCCACGCGTGTGTCCTCCGCGAGCCTGTGGCAATAGACTTTGTTGCTTCAACTCTCCAGGGTTGTTATAAATTAGAGCTCTCACATGAACAGTGGGGCAGGGAACCTGGGGAGAGGGAATCCCATCTGAAAGGCCTAAAAGGGACAGACTCCTTAACTGTGCTCGTTGGTTACCCACAACTTTTCCTTCCGCGTGATCTATCCCACCCGTCCCTATTAAATAACTAATTATTTAACATCTTTTAAAGCTCTGTTATATATTAGAACAGGCAGGACACAAATGAGTGCTTTTAATAATATAAAAGCCCATTGGCTTCATTTACTGTTAATGTTAAAATAAACATGAGGCAATTTAGATATACTATTCCAATTTCACGGAAACTTTGATGTTTTTCTTCTCTAGTCACATAATTAAGGGAAAAACTACTAATGATATTAAGTTTGTACAGTGTTAATGACAGAAACCGGCACAAGCTGAAATTGCAGCCATTAATATGAAACAATAAAATATTTAACAGGGGAGATAGATGAGCGCGATTTTAATAAACCCAAATGAAGAAAATTAATTTTAGAAAGTTCCACAGTCTTTCACGGGCTCCCGTTACACAAGCTGTCTAATGTATTATTTTTGTGGTCTGGATTATTTATCGATGGTCCGGAGGAATGCCCTGGTTTTTGCGTATGGTTTTGTGGATGATGAAGATTTTTGCCTTGATTTGTTTAATTCTTTCCCTTTTCCCTTTGCTCTACCACCGTCCCCCAGATGGAAAAGGCTTTATTTATAGTGTGCTTTGACAGACGGACCTTACCAACAATCTGTAGGTGAGTTACAGGGGCGGGACCATGTAACCCACTAGAGGGTCTTGCAGTGACTGCTGACCACCAGGTGGTTGCAGGGCTGAAACGTGACAGTTGGCTCCAGAAGGAGCCCTTATGTCTGGGTGGGGCAACCACTGCTCTGTCTTCAGTTTTCCTCTCGGGATCTGGGTCTTAACCACTTGTAGTGGGTTGAATAGCGTCCTTCCCAAATTCATATCCACCTGGGACCTCAGAATGTGACCTCTTCAGAAATAGGATCTTTGTAGACGTGTAAATCCAGTGAGAGACAGAACAGACACACAGAGACACAGAGGACGTGGCCAGGAGAAGACAGAGGCAGAGATCGGAGTGATGCGGCCACAAGCTGAGGAATGCCTGGGGCCACCAGGGCTGGAAGAGACAAGGAAGGAACCTCCCCTGGAGCCTGCAGAGGGAGCCTGGCCCTGCTGACACCGTGGTTTCAGACTTCTGGACAACACAACTGTGAGAAAATAGAGATCTGTTGTTTTAAGCTACTAAGTTTGTGGTTATTTGTTACAACACCCTAGGAAACCAGTACATTGCTGAAACACCATGGAAATGAGCACCCCTGACCCGTCTCAGGGAGGGTCCCGGGAAGGGGAGCGGGACAGGCTGCTGGGAGGGGAGCAGAATGCAGAGCAGGACCCGATGCGGCTGCAAGGAAAGGAAGTCTAAGCTGACAGCAGACGTGGCATCTGCAGCACATGGAGCACGTGCGACAGTGAAAGACAAGAAGGTGTCAAGATGGATCGACCCAGAGACACGGTGGGGTGGGGGGCAAGTACTAGGCAGGTCACTGAGCCAATGACAGGAGCCCAGGGAGGTAAAGCATGGAGCCTGGCCACACCTGTGAGGCAAAGGGTGGAACTGGGTTCTTTGGGAGCCAATCCTGGAGCCCATTTGTCAAAACAGCAGCCAGTGAGCTGAGGACTGGTAACATTAACAACAGAGGGCTTACTGTATGGGATGGGGGGCAGGAGTCAGCACTCCACACAGACCTCCCTCCAACTTAGTCTGTGCGGGGCTCCGAGCCCACAGCCGTTCTTAATGCCCTCACTGCGTAGATGAGGAAATGGGGGCTGGCAGAGGTGAAAACGGGCCTGAGATGGCACATTGACAGCCCGAGTCCGAGTCCGGGCCCCTCAGCATCACACTGGCTACAAGCATGGTCCCGCACTGTGCCCTGGGGGGGAACAGGGCTGACGAGACCGGGCCGTGGCTGTACGGATGCTGGGTCGGTGACAGGAGGTTCCACCGGGACCACCAGGAGCCGCTAGCGCATGGGGACATTATTGTCTCTCATGAAGGAGATCTGAGGTAGGGCAGCTCCCCGATTTTCCAGCTCAGTGTCCTAGCGCTGTCTTGCGGGGTTCGGGTGCTCTGCATCTGTACCAGTCATTAGGCTGTCGTCGCAGCTCCCAGACCCCGTCCCCACACTCCGCTGCGGGACTCAGGGGCTGGACCGCCACACGCCCCGATTCTGCTTTGCCAGCTGCTCGCTGTCGGACTCGGTCAACAGGGGGCGCCGGAGGGAGCCCGCGAGGCTGGAGGAAGGGCTTCCTGCGCCTGCGGGCATCACTCCAGCCAGGCGTCTTCACCCTGGCGGAGGCCGTTCCTCCGGGTAGCAAGGCCGAATGAATTTGCTGTTTTTCCAGCTCTCACAGATGCGGCCCACTGCACCCCCTTCTCCGAGCCTGGGTCCAGGCCCCCGTGGGCTCGTCCTCCGAGCTCAGGGACACCAGCACCAGCCTCCCAGCAGCCCCTTCCCAGAGGTGGGCGTTTCAACTCCACGCAGCCCTCCTCTAAGTAAGGAAGTATTAATGTTTCCAACCCCTTCCCTTTGTTCCCCCAGCCCTGAATGTAGTATCTTGCTACCTCTGTTTTTACCTTCTCTGTTACCTAGTTAACATTCCTAGCACCTTGCAGACCATTATTCACCGTAAGTTCTCCCTAGCGTAACTGGCATGGTTCCTGATTCCTGCCGGGACCCCGCCTGATAGCGCCGCCTTCTGCCCTCCCATCCCCCGTGTGTAGGGATGTCACCCCCCAGGGTGACACGGCAGCTGCAGCAATTCTGCTTCACAAATATTGACGAGTAGGTTCAGAGGCAGAAAAGAACCCCTTTCCTCTTGTCCCTGCCCCACATCTTTTTAAGCACACAGAAACAGGCAAGTTCCCCCAGCAAATTTCCCTTCACGTTTCGTTGGCCAGAATGAGGTCACGGGCCCTCCTCAGCCAATGCCTGGGGGAGGGGAATGGGATACGGTGACTGGTGTAAACCGATCAGGATTCACCTCCCTGGCAGCTGTGGTCACTGCCATGGTCAGGCAGAAGGGGACCAGCTGAACAAAAGTTGGGTTCTAATCACGGAGGGAAAAGGGGGAGGGGTTCCAGTCAGCGCTGACTGCTCCACCCTCCAACCATCCAGTGGGAGACGCGACAATTACAGATCAGGTGCTGAGAGGCTGAGCAGGGCTGCCTGGGAGCACAGAGAGGCACACACGAGTTCAGGGGAGGCCTCAGAGGGCGGGGGGGGGGGTGTGAACTGAGGCGTGAGTGGTGAGGTGGGCTTTACCAGGGAGCAGGTAAGGGGGGACTTTTTGGATACAAGTTATGGTCCTTGCGAAGGCACAGGGAGGTAGGAGAATATGGCACAGCTGGGAACAAAGTTGTCCGTTGTGATTTGAGTACAGGGGACATGAAGCACCTGGCCTTCCAAGTCGGCAGGAAAGGAGCACAGAAGGCCTGCCAGGGTACGTGGAGGCCTGAGTGTATGTTGGGGGGCTGGGGGTGATGCTTGTGGCTGCAGTGCCTACTTCAGGCCAGGAAAGAGTGTAGTCAGGGCTGCAGATCTGGAAGACTGACCCATGGGAGATGCGTGCTGTGGGGGCAGAGGACTGGAGGGACCCCACCGCTCCCATCTCTGAACCTGGGGTGGGGGGTTGGGAGCTCTGACCCAGAGATGCCCCTCCCTTCCTCCTCCCCTCTTCTCCACACAGGCATTGCCATTGTTGGCATCACTGAACAGAAACCCAAAAAGTGCAAAATACAGGCCCTTCCCAAAAGGAATTCAAGGCTTAGGTTAATTTTTTCTCCACTTTTTTTCCTGTCAAATAGACGTAACATAAAATGGACCACTTCACCACTTTTAAGGGTGCAGTTCAGTGGCGTATCGTCTTGTTGTTCTGCAGCCATCACCACTATCCAACTCCAGCCCTCTTTTCATCTTCCCAGATGGAAAACTCTATACCCATCAGCTAATAACTCCCATGCCCCTCTCCTCCCAGCCCCTGGTAGCCTACCTTATACCGTTGTCTCTGCGTACCTCATATAAATGGAATCGTATATTTGTCCTTTTGTGTCTGTCTTGTTTCACTTATATCTTCAAGTTTTATTTGTGTCTTAGCATATATCAGAGTTGCATTCCTTTTTAAGGCCAAACAATATTCCATTGGATGTACATACCACATTTTATTTATCCATTCATCTATTAATGGATATTTGGGTTATTGCCACCTTTTTGGCGAATGTGAATAATGCTACAGTGAACGTGGGTGTTCAAATATTTGCTTAAGTCCCTGCTTGCACTTCTTTTGTATGTCTATCCAGAGATAGAATTTCTAGATCGAATGACAGTTCTTTGTGTAATTTTTTTGTAGAGCTGCCATATGCTTTTCCACAGTGGCTGTACTGTTTTGCATTCCCAACAGCAGTGCACAACGGTTCCAGTCTCTCCAGCCTCCCTCACCAACATTTGTTTCCTGGTTTTTTGTTTTCATATCATTTTTGACAAGTAGCCATCCAAATGGATGTGAAGTGGTACAACTTGGCTTTTCAGCCAAGGGAAACTCATGTGATGATTAACCATTAATACATTGAATAATGTTCCCACCTGACTCACCCAGCTTGCACCCTATTTCTGGCGCCTCGCCATCCGTGGCCCCTTCCCCACCCCGTCTCTTTCTCCCTCTTCTCCAGTTGTGTCCCTGTGCCCAGCCCAGAGTATGCACACACCAGGACGGAAGAGACGATGGATGGGAGGAAGGATGGTGGTTAGCCCCTTCTTAGCAGACAAGGAAACTGAAAGGGGATCTAGATCGCATCTCACAGACTCGCCGCCCTGGCTGGGTTTTTGTGATACTCCTGAGTTCTGAGCCTCACCCCTGGCCCTGAAAGAGGAGACCACCCCCTTCTGAGGTCTGCTACACAGATTCTTCCCAGTGACTGCCCCCAGACCATCCCAGTTTCCTCATCTGAGCACTCCCTCCTTGGGCCATGCCAACCTCTATGGCTTCTCAATGAAACTCCCCATGGAGGGGGGGGGCGTGAGGATTTTCCCCATGCCCACGAGTCATAGGAAATAATTGATTACAGGAATTAATGGATTAATAACAGATATTTCATTGAGTAAATTACTTTCACTTGTGCACATGTAACTGCTTGTTTGGGGGTAACTGCATGCGAATGGGCGGGCACAAGAGAGTCAGTGTGAGGCCCACGAGGCGGCTCGAATCGGGGGCACAGAGTCATCTGTTTCCTCCCCTCTGCTGTCCATGAAGCGGGCTCTCACCTGGACCCTGGTCAAGTCAGCGAGGCATTTAAACTGTGACGTATAACAAGGTGGCCGCCACATCCCCGGTGGTCACCGAGATTGTTCCACAAGCCGTTGGGAAGTGCATTAACCTATTTAACTGTCCAGAAATCCAGCATCGTGAACATTTCAGTGTCTTATTACTTGCTCAGTGTTGCTTACCTTTACTTATTTGTTACCATTTAAATTTTGCTTCAGTTAATTCTTGGGTGGGAATGTTTCCACAAACGCAGGCCTGGGGAGAGGGCTCAGAGTCCTACTGTCAGTGGTGTGTTCAGAGTCTCAAAGATCTCAACCATCTGCTGTTCTTCCAGACACTGCTGCTGAAGCGTTCTTGTTAGACTGTGTCGGGGAGGTGGGGCAAAGATGACTCTGAGATGTGAAAGCAGGGGTGGAGAGGCTCTGAGGGGTGTGGTGGCTGAAGGAGCCGTGGTTGATGAGTCCTGAGACCGCCTTTCTTGCCAGGCTGTTGCTAACTTGCAGTGTGACCCGGGGAAAGTCACTTCACCTCTTTGGGGTCTCGGTTTCTCTAGTAAACGCTGTCCCTACAAAGATCCCCTGAAAGTACCGTGTCCCTGTGTACTCACGATCCCCCCATACCAAGGTTTCTCAACCTTGACACCTTTAGCATCTGGGGCTGCAGCATCCTTTGTGTCGGGGCTGTCCTGTGAACTGGAGGATATTTAGTTGCAACCCTGCCCTCCAGCTTCCAGCAGCCCCTTCCTACCCTTCCAGCCCCGATGTGACAACCAGAAATGTCTCCAGACATTGCCTCATGTCCCTGGGGGCAACATTGCCCGGTTAGGAACCGAACCGCTGATCCAGGCATGGGTGTGGGCCCCTCATTCACTTCTCAAACACCGTGAAGCAGCGCCCCCTCTGGCAGGCGCTGG